TACTACGTAAATACTTTTCGAGCGCGAAAAATCATGTCTGAACACGCAGCGATTGCAGCGTGACTTACACTCTCCCGCAGCATATATTACGTACTTTTGGATTGATGCGCTCACTGAACCAAAACAAATAGATACTCATATACAAGCTTATAATAAGTAGACTCACTGAGCATTAAAATTAATGTGGTTCATGGAATGCTTCATAAGGAAAACATGATTCAAAGATAGAAAAACAACAAAAATGCACAAAAAGCGCTAAATACTCTATTTCTTGGCAATAATTTCTGAAGCATATTACATTATTTATACCGTAAGTACTATATAATGAAAAATACACGTCTAGAAGTTCACAAATAAATTCAATAATAGTCTGGAATCGAACTTTTTATTTTTGAGTATGTTATGGGCGAAAATGGCCCTTATCAACCCACCTCCTTTGCGTATGTAATTCCCTGAATGGATAAGAAAAAGTGGATGCGCAACTAATTTCTAGCTTTGAATGTCAAGCAAGTGTATTTGAGACAGGAATCCAATGGTAGTATCATCAACCCATATTATTAGCACACAAATCCTCACTATGCACCCATGCACTGCCGTTTCGTTCTAGCTATAGTAAACAACTTACAGCTTAGACCTCCAGTAATGCCATCTCTGGAGCAGATTTTATATCACATCAGAGTCAAACATTGATAACTGAAGCATCATGACGTTTATGCAACACGTACAACTACAAAACGAGTTCACAACGTGTCCATCAGCTAGTGCTAAGTTAAAATCTTGTAGAAAAACCTACATATTGTCACAAAAAATTGATACAATATCAAAAAAAAATCGCCATAATGTCACTTTTGAAGATACGTGCTGAGCGTGCTTCAGCCACAGGCAGGGCTAGAAGCAACAGTCCAAGACCGGAGTGTTCCGATGACGTGCACATTGTTTATCATCCAAATTCAAGTTCTTTCTGTTGGTGGACGACTGCTTTGAACCATAGCAATGTAGTTCGGAAATAAATTCCTGTTCGGTGGAATTTTGACACACAGTTCACAGTCACTACTATGTCAATCATAAAATAACTTTTCATATGCCTCTACCAGCGATGGCGAAGAAGTAAGTAGACAACAAAAAATTAGGAGTACTCAAGCTTAGTTTTTCTGTTTTCAGAGTTTTTGCATAGAGAAAAAAAGGTTATGGAAGTGAAAATATGAATAATCCTAAAATTGATTTTTCTACTTTCTGGTCACTTCAGCGTAGTAAAAAAAAGGTTGCTCGAAAATTTTGAAATAAGGCGGTCCTATAGGTACAGATATCACTACTAACGTTTGTATTCTATTCCTGTGCAAATATTTTTGTTGCGAAATTCAATGATTCCCTTAATAATAAGATACGTGAATATAGATAGTCATGTGTGAGAAACACGTCAGCTTGATTCCTCATGTCTTCTGGCCATTAACTGAAACCATATGTTGGCCTGAGTTTTCACTCACGCCTCGGCCACCTCGGTGGTCTTTCTAAAGTACAATAATAAAATGACTGTGACAATATATTTTGTATATATATTTTTATATATCAGGTAACAGTGACAGTCTATTTAATATGTAAAAATACACTGTCACTGTCACGTTTTACTTCATACGCTGTCACTGGCGAGGAAGTATTGTAATTGAGAAAAAATTCGATAATGAGATATTATGTTTTTTTGATGTTATATGACATGTTGTATTTACATCTCGAAAAGCCATGTCACTAATTTCCGTCGGTCTGTCTGTCTGTCCGTCCACAAATCCTTGGCCCGTCTATAACTTGGAAAGTACTGCTCAAATTTTGATGGAATTTTCAGAGAAGGTTCGTACTATGCGAAGGACGAAAAAGCTTTGTAATTTTTGTAAATTGGTCCAACGGCGGCCAAGCTACAGACGATAGAGGAAAAATAGCTCAAACGTTTTTCGATGTTTCAGAGACTCCTGATCATTTCGATATTGTTGAGGGGTATACCGCAATTTTTGGCGATAGTATATTGATAAACTTAAGACTTAATAGTAAAATAGTTTTATGCGTATAAAGTGCCGCTGTCTGCTGCTAAGCAAACATCTAAACGGCGAATTTGTTACCTGAACAGGTGAGAAGGGGTCACCACGCCCGGCGATTTATAATTGCGACTACCAGTTCAATAAAGTTATGTTAATCGTATTTAATGCAATGTGATATAAGTGATGCCGCTATGCGTACAATTTCGCCAATCATTCTTGCCTGATTTTCTAGTACTTCTGATGGGGAATTTGGACCAGGTGTGTATCTGCATATTGCAAATATATCTGATATATATGACCGGGCTACAAATATTGCCCGATGATCCATAACATGATCAGATATGGTGACAACATTAGGGCTCTAATTATTCGGGTGTGACATAACGAACACACGTTCACCAGTGTTCTTGCCTTCTGTGAATATAAAGATTTTTCGTGAAATGAAGAATCTGATCTATTTTTGGTACCTTTTCCCAAGCAAATAATACCAGGGCTACGAAAGTAATTATCCATTATTAAAAAACTGGCACTTCCTACGCCATGCCGTCATCGATTTATAACTAATTAAGTTTTTTTATACATACATAATATAATGGGAAGCTGAAATTCGGGGTTATATATTTTAACGTAGAAGTGGCAGTTAAAATATGTTTTAAAACGGAATGAGGGTCATGTGATAGATACTTCATTGTGCGTACTTTATAATCCTAGAAGATAGAAGACTGTTAAAGTATTTGTGTAAATTAACCCGCTTATAACTCCACATCCAATCACCAACACGCTATAGTATACTAAGTGACATATAAATCCGAACACCCAGTTTAAATGGTTTTATTTTAATAAAAGTTGGTGAATGTATTTATCTTACTGTAAATAACAAGTGAAAAAATGTTCAGCCTTATAAGTTGGACATTCCAGTTTTTATACTGCTTTTTTTTTAATTCACTAACGCTCTAAAAATGAATATTTCAGCCGCAGTAAAGAATCAACGTTGGCGGATTTTGGTTCTTGACATCTTTTACGATCGGTTACGATGCCTAGAGTACGGAGACCTGTACGATTTCGTCAACTTAGTGAGTTTGATAGGGGCCGTATAGTGGGACTTCGGGAAGCTGGACTTTCTTTTCGGGCAATTGCAGTTAGAATGCAAAGAAGTGTAGACACTGTGGTTAGGTGCTGTCAGGCATGGCTTCGAGAAGGCCGTACGCAAAGAGCCAGGGGCACTGGACGCCGCCGTAGAACAACAGACCGTGAAGATCGCCGCCTAAGATTATTGGCCTTAAGGGACCGTTTCTCCACTACCAGGTCCATTGCAAATGAATGGTTTGCATAACACGGAAGACCTATTGGCATGCGAAGTGTTTACCGACGAATGAGAAGTTTTGGTTTGTTTTCATACCGGCCACACTGGGTCCTCCCTTTAACTCGAGAACACCGACGTAATCGCCTTGAGTGGTGCAGACAACGGTCACTCTGGGATCAGGAATGGAACAGTATTGTCTTTAGTGACGAGTCTCGATTTTGTTTAGGCATGCACGATGGTCGTGCCAGGGTTAGAAGGCGACGTGGTGAAAGGAGGAATCCACAGTTTTTTGTTGAAAGACATGTTCATCACACTGTTGGAGTTATGGTTTTTTGGTGCTATAGCTTATGGTTCCAGGTCACCTTTAATCTTCATCAGAGGTAACATGAACGCGCAGCGTTATATCCACGAAGATTGCTCAATTTGCAACGTCCTCCTCAGACTCTAGAAGCACTTCGAGAGGAGTTGGTGGTTGCCTGGAATGAGATACGACAGGAGGACATTGACCACCTGATCAGAAGCATGCCTAGGCGCGTTGGAGAATGCGTAGCACATCAGGATGCATCCACACATTATTAAAGGTCAAAGGGCTTTAAAGCAGTGCAATCATTTTGAAATTTTTATCATTAAAAATAAAACCATTTAAACTGGGTGATCGGATTTATATGTCACTTAGTATATGTCAAGTCAATATTATTCTCTTGGGTGGATCTTTCTGAAACATTGTGTAGGTAAGGAGAGGATTTAAATGAGTTAAATTTGAAACAGATTTCAGAACACCCATTCATTCCCTGGAATGGAAATACGATGTATAACATGACATGTGAATCATTTTCGAAATCTCAACATTACAATCTTTTCCGTACTCGAAATAAAGAACATTCACCATATTATGCAAATATTAATAAAAGTGTTGAACTTTCATCATTTTTAAACATTGATGACCGATTCTAAAATGTGCTAAGATTTCTAAAATGATATATATTTTGGATATTACAGGATATGTACCGAAATCATGTATCCGTCGGTCCGCTAATCCTTGGCCCCTCATATCTCTGATTTTGATGGGATTTTGAAATAAAGTTACTATTTACTATGCCAAGGACAAGTGTGGTGGGTTTTCAAACCTGATCCAGTGGTGGAGTAGGGAAAAAAGGGAAAAATAAAATAATCGAAACTTCTTTTTTTGACTTTTTCGAGGTTATGAACGTTGCTGTAAATTGTTTGATAGCTAAAAATTGAGAATGGAGGAATGTGAAAGGTGGAGTAAGGTACATTTGCATTTTTTTAAGTCAGTAAATTATACGCTTCTAACTCCGGTAATTCTATTCACTTATTAAGCATACTTTACACATTTTCCCAGTAAATTTGCCATTAAGACTTGAGTGATATTTTCAATAACCGAGTCGAGCGCAATGAAAATAGAAAATAACCATGTTGCGACCTGGCGCATCACAACAATTTCTAAGCTACAACGTTGTCAAATGACTGGAGACTGGGACTAATTGCATATGATTCTATTTGACTGACTTAATCCAGATTCAAATCTTCGGTTATGGGTGATAGTAGTTCACTTTTATAACTAGCCTACGCCGAACAAGATATTTTATGAACTGACAGCAGGGTTGCGTAAGAAGTATACAGTCAACCTACCTGACGCCATTTTTTAGGTTGTGCTCACAATCCTACTGGTGTAGACCCCAGTCAGGAACAATGGTGTGAAATCTCACAGTTAGTCAAGAAGAGACAATTATTTCCAGTATTCGATGTTGCCTACCAAGGATTTGCATCCGGTGATTTTTATAATGACGCATTTTCGTTTAGAACATTTCTTCAAGATGGTCATAAAGTAGCTATATTGCAGAGTTATTCGAAAAGCATGGGTTTATATGGTGAGTATCAGATAAGCAAGTTGCTACATGAAATATATGTAGTGAGATAAATAAAAAATAGATTATTGACAAGCTGTTCAAAATCAGGATATAAAAAGCTTCATAAAACCCTAAAGGATTTCAAAGTGCAATTTCAGAGTTTCTACAATTCCCGTTAGTTTATAAGATCCGCATAAAATAACTAGGGCATTTTTTGAGAATAGTGAATTGAGGTGTGCTGATAAAATTGCATATTACCAAGCTAATAAAAATAACTACAATCCAAATTTCAATTTAGTAAAGTGAATACTGACACCTTTGTTAAAATTATGGCTCCCTTGCTTCCCGGACCTGTCAACGTGTGATTTTTTTATGGGGCTACCTGAAATCAAAAGTTTACCAAAGCAAGCCTCGGACCCTCGTCGATTTGAAGGAGGAAATAAGAAGAGAAGTATCCCAAATTCCTGCACGGATGCTGGCCCATGCAATGGGCTCATTTCAGAAGAGGCTTGATTCGTGCATTTCGGCTCAAGGGCTCCATATGGCCGGCATAGTTTTTAGAACGTACATTTTGTTTTACTCAACAAAATGGCATGTATTTCTGAGTATTTTGATATAATAAAATATTTTTCCCATATTTATTTTGACTGTACTACTCATTTAAAAAATATGCGTTCTTTCTAATGTACCCTGTGTAAGTTGTAATAAAGAAGTCAATACTTTTTCAGGAAAAGAAACGTGTTGTGTGTGCGCCGAAAACAAAAATATACTTTTTTCTACAAACGGTGCTGCTTGGCACAATCCCCCTTAAACCACCGATGATCTTGCGATGATTTTGTACTTGAATGTTCCCAATTTTCGGTTCGACAATCCTGTGTATATGGCCTCGATAGGCATCGTTGTTGGGTGGTCGGTTTTATTAGTAGGGCGATAGGCTAGATCGCAATGTTGTCAAATATGTGGGGACTATGGACTAATTGCAATAGCCGGTTTGACTGACATGATTCATTTGATTCCTTCTTTTTAACAGGGACTAATTTGTGCCGAATTTAATCCTTCATGAATTGATGGCAGCGTCTCGTAGGAAGTGCAGTCAGCCTATTTGACGTTATTTTTTACTTCTAGGTGAACGAACAGGGTCGTGTACATTTATAGCTGATTGCAAAAGCGAAGCTGACACAATTCTGACGCAAATGGAAGAAATCATAAGAAAAACATATTCAAGCCCACCAATACATGGGTCTAGAATAGTTGTAGAAATTCTGGCAGATGAAAATCTCAAATATATGTGGTTTCAGGAAGTCAAAATGATGTCTGAAAGGTATTTGATTTAAAACTAATCGAAGTTTCACAGATTTTTTAGCCTTATGGTGCCAAGTCATACACTGATTTCGCTGAGATTGAACTGAGAGTCGTCAGCCTTAATGCCAAAATCACCACTCGCATGCAGTTTCACTTTCCACGCCTTCTGGCGGGGAAGTACTGTAATCGGGAAGATTTTCGAAAATGAGATGTTATTTGATGTTTCTGACATGACGAAAAACCATGTCACCCTTTTTTCCTCGGTCTGATAGTCTGTCGGTCTGTCCGCTAATCTTATAGCCTATAACTTGAGAAGTACCGATTTCGATGAAATTTTTACACAATATTACTACTATGACAAGGATATTTGTGTTTTTTTAAAATTGGTCCAGTGGAGGCGAGAAAAGGTCTAAAACAAAAAAATCATCACACACTTCGTTTTTTTGACGTTTTAGACGATTCTAATCGCTTTTAGGTTAAACAATGGGAGCTAGGGGTTGCAGGGGCTTGGGGATGGTATATATCAATTTTTTTGATGTTGGTATCGGCAATCGCTTCCACACTGCTGTGGACTGTGCATGATTAAAGCCAATATCGTCATTCACGCGGGATTGGTCATTGCAACGATCATGTGCGCCTGCAGCAAATCCTCTCAGGAGGAAAAGGAAGGTCATTCAATTTTTGTTATACATGTTCGTAGCTAACTTTTTTCTTACAAGGGCTAACTTGTGCCACACATAATCCTTCACGAACTGATTACAGCGTAGCATGGGAAGTACTGAGTCAACTTACCTGACGCCATATTTTTAAAAATTACTGAGGTTCTGCATTTTTTGATTAATCGACTAATTATTGCCAAACTAGCAAAGTAGTGCTATAAGCTTTTGATAAAAGAACTGTTCAGCCGTGAAAGCTCTCTATTGTTTTTGCCTGAACACCATGTTGTGTGGAATGTAAATTTGCTTTCTGCAGCATATTTGCTCTAAAATGAGGTGTTTAAGATATTCTTACCTATAGCATAGTTATACAACACCTTATAGGACAAATTTTGAATGGTTGCATAAACGTTTATACAACTATTTTATACGGCATATTTGCGCGGTAGTCAAAATAGTTGTATTGTGGCATCCATGGTAACGTTTATACAACAAACCTGATCCTTGTTGTTTTGGTGTGCAAATTTACTACTTTAGCCAACAAATTGCTCCCAACGGAAGCACTTATGCAACTGTCGTTTAGTAACTGTTAAAGGCTGTACATCTGCAACAATATTACAACTTTTATAGTACAAACTTACTGTGCGCGGCATACATTTGTTGCTAAATATGTTGGTATACAGCTTCACCATAACCTAACTTTCTGCTGTCATCTTTTTAGTTACAATGCCATAACCAATATTTGAAGACATGCATATTGGTTTAAAAGGTTTTATCAACTGTTCAAACAGGAGATATAGATCTGGTACAAATTTTGGGTAAATCATTGGACCCTGTCCGTATTTCATTTCTGAGATTTGATAAATTGTTGTGTAACACTTGCAGACAAGACCAAAATATTCTAATAAACCAGAGGCAACATGGACGATGCCATGATTATACATAACTACCCGCCATGTTGGGCAAAAATATATTCTTCTATTGAAAATTAATTAATTATGTTTCAGTTCGACATTACAGATATAAAGTGATAAACATTAGTGTAATTGTGCCTAAATATAGGATTTGTGGAATATTTAACGGAGATAAGTTCAGTTTTTCATCTTAAAAATCTAAACATACTTTTGATCATTATTAAAATATTAATAAAATACCCGGAAAAATTGCGTAACTACTTTGCACGATATTCGCAATAAGATTTGCTGCGCAAGTAATTCAATAGCCCTATATCGCAGTGTAGAAGTTTATCATATACATGTGTATGAAATTCACAATGGCCGACATGTAAAATTCATTACAACTTATCTCTGATAAATGTTAATTATTAACTGCAATGTTTGTTGGTAAAAGGTATTCATTGTTGAGCTATATGTATGACGTTTATTATGATTTTTATTCGGCAAATTATCAATCAGATCGTGAGCCAGGGCAAGATAAGATCGGAAATACTTGGCTTCGCCCCCTTCAAATTACCAGGCATCGATGGCATTTACCTTGCCCTACTACAATGGGGCCTACATCAATTGCTGCCACCCCTAAAAAGAATTTTCAGAGTGTACCAAAAATTGGCAGGATGAATTACACCACCCCAAAGCCGTTTCAAACAATCAGCCTGAGACCCTTATAGCAGTAGTAATATATTATAGAACAATCCTATGCATCAAAATCAACATGCATACAACCCAGGTAAATCCACTGATACAGTCTTACATGCAGTAATGGGAAGGATTTAGAAATCAGAGGACTTTACCATGGGTGTTTTCATAGATAAATAAGGTGCATTGGTAAAACCACATTCCAGAAAATCGTAATAGAGCATTCAGGTAAGAAGTTTCCAATACTGAGAGCGGATGGTTACTTAACGAGCTATCTAAAAGGGTAGCAAAAGTCCGTGTATGAGATGTTATCGCAAAAAGCTTGGTAACAAGGGGCTGCCCACAGGGCGGGGTTCTATCATCACTTCTTTGGGACCTTGTTCTTGACTGCCTAGTCATCAGGATCAATAGCTAGCGTACGAGAAACTAAGCTGGGTCGCATCACCACCTTATTCAGTAGTCTGGGGTGGCTGACGATCCAGACCCTAGTAACCTCTGGGGAAGACCTACAAAGGGCCTAATGGGGCTTAAGTGCTGTGATCTTGATTGATTGCCCTTCCTCCAATCCAAAATCCAGAAATATGCCCAAAACAATATTATAATACCGTAATTGTTAGAAAATTTCAGACCTGACAAATTGTATTTAAAAAAAATGTTCTCCTAGTTGGGCAAAAATGTCCAACTTTTCGCATATTAGTATGAGGAAGTCTTTCTACACCTGTATATCACATACGGTAAATGATTATTAGGCGGACCAAGTCTACATAATTATAACAAAACGTAACTGTTACAAATACATCACGTTATTTTTCCATATTTAGGCTGAAAGCTATGAGGAATGCTTTGAAGGAAAATCTTGAGAAAGCAGGATCAAAGCACAATTGGGACCACATCGTGCATCAAATTGGAATGTTTTGTCTCAGCAAACTGACACCGAAACAAGTAAAGAAGTTAACGGATGACTACCACATATATCTTCCTGCAGATGGAAGAATTTCTGTGGCAGGACTAACTACAAAAAACGTGCAGTACGTTGCTAATGCCATTCATGAAGTGACTAAGTGATGTGCTGTAATGACTGAATGACGGAGGTTTCAGACAAATGTTAGTATCTCATATTTACGCTTACGATATAGTCATGATGGATTTTAAATCTATTTCGTATAGACCAATTAAAGCATTTTCGAAAATCTTTAGTAAATTTATATTGTTTTTTTAATCTTGGAACGCAACAAATATATTTATAAATCCACTTCAATTTTGGTTTTGGCATTTAACGATCAGGAACCATCCTTTACTTTATTTATTCTCATGTCTTTGAAACCAAATCTTGTTTGCAACATCCCATAATTAATTACACAGTTCAAAAGAAAATAACAGTTGGAGTTATTGATTACTTATTCTGCGTCATAATGTATACAAATGTTCAACATATTGTTCAGTGAACTTTGTTCCGTACCTCATGTCCTGCCACTGCGTGAAGCGCCCTGCACGTCCTACCAATGAAGCCAGGTGTACTCAGGAGTGGGGGAATCTCGGGAAGACGCCGTCCTGGTCACGTAGACGTAGACACTCACCACCCGTCTTCCCATGGACAAACAAGCCGCCGCATTTTTTTATATTATGAAATCACAGACGCATTTGTATCACTGAATAAATCCAACTATTAGAACCAGTGCCTATTTTCTGACAACACGCCACATGGACCTTCGAGCCTGATGGGATCTATGGAAAACACGAAATAGTGCAGCTGAAAAGAGAAACTGCGGGTGGATTCCAAGCAGCCCGTGTGCCCTAGCGCAGCGATTAAAAACCGATCACAATGGAGGGTATCAAGCTACCCGAGATCAAACTGCCCAAATTTGATGGAACTTACGAAAATTGGATGGGTTTTAGAGACATGTTCGAATCTATGATTCATAATAATGCCCAAATCAACGACATTCAAAAATAGCATTATCTCCGTGCATCACTTATTGGTACGGCACAATCAGTTATTCAATCCTTTGATTTCACAGCTGACAATTATGTCAATGCTTGGTCCACACTGTGCGACAGGTTCGACAACAAGGAACTTTTAGCCCAGAACCTCTTAAAGGCTATTTTACCCTAGAAATTTCAGGTAATGCGACTGCTAGCAAAATTAGACAATTTTATGAGGCATTTTTGACACATTTGAGTAGCCTCAAGCGATTAGGTGAACCAACTGAGTCTTGGGACACACTTTTGATTTACATTTTTAAGTCAAAATTAGATAAAGGTACAGCCAATGAATGACAGAGGTATACAGCAGGTCATGCAGGTGTTACATTAAACGATTTTACAGAGTGTCTCAAAAGACGAGCGAACTTATTAGAAACGTTTGAATCCAGTTTTGATCACAATAATGAGAAAAAGGGTAATGCGTCCCACAAACCCAATGCAGATGCACAAAGATATATCAAACCAAGGTATCCTTGTCGAACTTTGTTAACTCGCAATGATACTGATAAGGCCAGTTCTGACATAAAGCCAAAATATGCTTGTTATCACTGCAATGGTGATCATACGTTGTTTTATTGTCAAGCATTTCAGAAAATGTCAATAAAGGATAGAATTGCTAAGGCTAAATCTTTAAAATTATGCTTGAACTGTCTTAAAAGAAATCATACAACCAGAGATTGCAAATGGGCAGGTTGTAAAATTTGTAGTCTTAAACATAACACTGTCTTGCACAATCCAAATGAGACCCCTGTCTCTCCTGTTAACTCAGCTGTCGTCGTAGATCATAACAACTTTTTTCAGCATGAAGAAAATTTAGAACAATCATTAGACGACAATGAGGTTGCTACTAGTCATTGTACATTGGCAACTATGAGAAACGGTATCTTACCTACTGCAAGGGTGAAAGCATATAGTACTGCCAATTCTAAACATCATGCTGTTGTTCGAGCGTTATTGGACTGCGGCTCATAACTAAAACTAAGCAAAAATTAGCGGTATCTGGTATTAACGACAAATTGACTTATGCAAATTACAAATGTGACATAATAATAAAGTCCAGTGTAGGTTCTTATTCGTTTAATCTCTCATGTTTTGTGCTGGACAAGATCACCACTGACATTCCCGATGCTCCAATAAATGCCAAATATCTAAATATCCCTGTTAATATCGAGTTAGCCGATCCAGAGTTCTATGATCCGCAATCCATTGACGTTTTGATCGGAGCAAATGCCTTTTGGGATCTCTTAAGCTTGGGACGAATCCATTTAGGTACTAATTTGCCTACATTACAGAATACCCGGTTAGGTTGGGTTGTTGCTGGATCAATGGATATACCTAAGACAAAATCGCATTGTGGGTTGACCAGAAATATTTTGGTCCAAGACCAACCAGCTAAATTCTGGGAAGTTGAGGAAGTAGATCCAAAAAACCCTGGTCGGTAGAAGAGACTTTATGCGAAGAACATTTCGTAAATCACTTGACAACTTCTGAAGAAGATAGATATGTAGTATCTCTTCCACTTAAGGACTCTCCGGCAAAACTTGGCGAGTCTCGTGACATTGCAGTCAAACGATTCATATCACTTGAACGAAGGTTAATGACCAATGAAAAATTCCGGAAATTGTATATAGACTTCTTAGATCAATACGCGAATTTAGGACATATGACAGAGATCACGTGCGATGGAAAGGATGATACGGAATATTTTATGCCGCACCACGGGGTACTGAAAGAATCCAGCTGCACCACAAAATTGCGCGTTGTGTTTAATGCGTCGATGCCTACATCTAGCGGTTTATCTTTGAACGATTTACAGATGACAGGTCCTATCATTCAGCAAGATCTTTTCAACATTATTATTAGATTTCGTTTGCGATCCGTTGAACTGTCTAGTGATATAAAGATGATGTACAGACAAGTATTGATGAATCCTGATCAGCGTAAATTACAGAAAATTGTATGGCGTTCAAATCCCAATGAACCACTTAAAACATTTCAATTGAATACCGTCACATACGGAACTACAGCGGCATCCTTTTTAGCGATCAGGTGTTTACATCAAATTGCTGATGAGTGCGAAACTGAGCACCCAACGATATCGAAGATCATCCGAAACGATATGTACGTCGATGACTTATTAACTTCTGTCAATGCTGAGGATGAAGCTTGTTATATAAAAGATCAGATTTCACGGATATTACTCCAGCGGGGTTTTGAACTGAGAAAGTGGAAATCTAATAGTAAAAACTTAACAAATGATTCAGGTGTAGGATACGAAATTGATAATATGATAATAGCAATATAACGATAAACGTGAAAACATCTCGTCTTAGAAGATTTCGAAGTACCGCCCCGTACCATTACATTTTTACTACATGGGCAGTACGTAAACAATCCGATATGGGCAACAATATCAGGGTAGTATTAAAGTCACTTACTTGGTGACGAAACGACAACGAGTTATCCTCCTTTGGCAAGCGATAAGGGCGATATGATTGGATTGTCGGGGCCAACACCTATTTTTAGAAAAAGACTTATGAGTATCTCCCGTATTCAACCGACTCATGACAACACATGCACTAATCTACTATCTACCATTACATTAATGTACCCCAACTACTATTACGGATTCGTCGACTGAATCACGGGACCGTCATCACGACAGACTGATCCTGACCGTCATCACGACAGACTGGTCGTTAAGTCATCACGACAGACTTAATAGGAGTCATCACACAGACTCAATAGGAGTCATCACGACAGACTCAATATAACTCTTTGGTCGCTAGGTGTACGGTCAGACGTGCTGAGTTTAACGATTGTTACAAAAAGACAGTCCAGGAACCGGGATATCACGCCGACCAAGGCCGTTGTGTCAATACCCCAAATCTCCGACATTACCCCTGAATCAGAGGTAACCGAGCAATATGACTATCATTAAAGTAACAATCCCTGCACACATCCTGCCATGAGATACATTCAGACTCCAACGATTGCCAAGTGAAGATAGTTAAGCGGTCATTAAGACCAAGGATGCCACTTCGACCAAAGGCCACCGTGTCAACATCCAAAGCGCTCCGACATTTCCCCTGGTAGAGGAAACCGAGCAGTAAGTTACATAACTACCTCAACCCAGCAAACGGGCTCCGAAAGTCCCATAACAACCCCCAGAACCTGGAGGCGTCCCACCTGCGGATATTCAATAACAAGTCGTAAGCCATAAGTTAAATTATGAAGGTAAAAAGTATAGCATCTTTATAAACATGGCTTAAGACATTCATGATCATGAATATAAAACTATTATGGTTATCAATCCATGCAGTACAGTAGAATAAAGGAAACACTCAGTGATAGCTCACCTTTCAGGTAACTAAAACACCACACCCAATAGCACATCAACACCGTAATGAAGTTCACTCTACTTGGACTGAGAAGCGATGTGATCCACGCGACAATTGAAATGCATCTACGCCAGACTATCAAAGTTTATCCTGGGAGCAGGTACCCAGCGAAGGAATGGAATGTATAATGTAAACAGGCGTAAGGGCTGTCGCGTTGAGTCACACTAAGCTGCCTTGTGTAACTTCTGGAAAGTTTTAGTGTGCTACAGGGTTGGGCTCGCATGCAAAAATTAAAAAAAAGTGTTTGAGATATTTCGTAAGCTTACATTCGGCCATCCGACATTCACCTCGCCCCGAGGTGATCATTCGCTGCCCGACGACGCTGGAAGTGGGACCCCATCGTCACCACTTTCGCTACCCGTGTCGTCCGAAACACCTCCTGGTGTACACCAAGGTTTCATCCTGTCCACCGCAACCGTCCTCTCATAATTCGCCTTTCTCCCGGTACGGTGCGATCCCCCCATGTCCGATACAACATACCTATCGTTAGGCAAAGCCGCTTTAACAACCAATGGACCGCTATAAGGTGACAGTAATTTCCGACTCGCCCCCGTAGCAGGATTCTGCTTTTCGACCAATACTAAATCGCCTGGTCTATATTTCCGCGGAGACTCCCGCTTCTTGTCAAAACTGGCTTTTTGTTTCTGTTGAGCTGCCTCTATTTTTCGGGCAGCCCTCTCCCTTGTGGCAACAAGGTCTTCGAGGAGTATGTGGACTTGA